TCGCCCGGACGAGGCGATACGAAGCGCAACGTTTTAAGAAAATGTTCCTCTCGACGACGCGCGAATTCACGTGACTTCTCCGGAATTTGGGTCGAAAGGTGGCGAAAATACCACTTTTCTTCTGCCCCTGGTTTGTCATTGGCATTTCATTCGATGAACTCGCGTTCACTTATTCGGCGTTGAATAAATTTCTTTCGGGCAGTTACGTGTGTGTGTGTTTGGTTTAATAACACCAATGTATTGTTCGGTTAATTCCCTCCTTTTTTTTTTTTTTTTTTTTTCGTTTTCGAAGGAAATTTCTTCGTGCAAGAGATTGAGAGTTTAGAAAAGGAGTTATTCATATATTTTGTTTCATCAGTAAAATTTATTGCAATTTTAGTAGTATTTTAGTAGTATTTTCCATTTTACTTATTTTATATTTTAGTAGCATTTTCCATTTTACTTTTGTAGAAAACTGTATCTGAATTCTTTTTATTCCTTTTGCCAAACTGAATTTTTTCTGTCGTACTTGATCGATTAACACTACAACTACCAAAATGGTCAGAAATGACCAATTGATAATTTTTGTTAGATAGTTTCGCAGATGCGAAACAGTGTATTCTTGGGGACTTGAGCGATTCTTTGCAAAATAAATAAATAAAAGCTTGCGTGCCATATTGTATTACGAAGATTTTCTGTTTCTTTTTTATCTGAACGTCTCTGATGAAAACCTTTATGCTTTAGTCGTCGGTAGCTCTAGCGTTAAGCGAGCAGATTCTCGGTTTCGCAGCGAGCAGAACGCTGGAAGGAGCGTGAACATTCAAGGCGGCACGCAGCTTTCGTTTTCGTTTCGTCCAATTAACAATCCATAAATTCTCGGTGCGTGCTCGCCTCGTAAATTTCCGACCGGAGGGGCTGCGCCTATCCCTTCGGTTGCCCGCTGTTTTTCAAAAGAATCCCATCAGACTCGTAGATCTTCCCGAGGAGACACGCGAAATCGGAGGAACCTACGTGGCGCATCGTAGGAATGGTGGCGCATTGTACGCCTTCTGGAAAATTCACCCTCCTATCTGAGATTTAATTTCCTCCGGGCCTCGCTCGTCGTATCTCCGCCGAGTAAACTTGAGAATTTTTAATGAAATTGATTTTCCACGCTCGAACAGCGTCGGAGAATATTGAGTTTATTGACGAAAGGGATACTTCGCCGGTGGTGAATAGAGATCTGAATTTTCGCATGTATCCTCGATTACTTCGAAAAGTTGCTCTGTCCTCGGAGATAGTATTTTAGAATTGTGGACAAGTGGCGGAATTGCTTTTCGACATTCGACGAGACTACCGGCGGAACTGTAGGATTTATGACAGAAGGGCAGAGAAAAGGGAATTAATAAAAATTCTGTGTTTAAATCCCCCATGAGAGAAATCTGTGAAATCCGGATGAAAAACTTCTGAAATCACGAATGGCCAAGATCTCTCCCCTTTTACGTGCCATGAAAACCGAAACTCAGTTCCATCGGCCGGGCCATTAAACCCCACCCCTCTGCCGCCAGTTCTCGAAAAACCATCATAGAAAACACATTTGCTTGCTCGATGAAACTTTTTAATCCGTACTAACGGGCAAACTCGCCGAGCCTTTCCCCTCCCCGTCGTTATTCCAGGCAACGTCATTTTATAGTGTTCCCAGTGAATATTTCGCGTGTAATTCTCGTAAAGGATAGAGGGAAGTAAACACATTTTTAACGACCGGAAATTATTGTTGTTGTCATTGCCGTCGCGACTCGTTTGATCGAGAATGTGTTGACGGTGTGCATAGTGCGTCGTTACTTTTATCTTTGAACGGTTGGTGGAGCAGTGAAGAAGTTGGAGATTTATACTTTTATTATAGGGCAGCGGGAGGGGGTAAAGGGTACAAACTTGGACATTTCGTGAAAGTAGAGCGCGTTGAAGGATTCTTGGAATTTTTTATCGATGACAGCGTGCTTTTGGAATTTCTTACGGGGAGGTACTAAAATTTACAGGCTGGTATAATTACATAGAAATTTGGAAATTCGGAGATTCAGAGGATTGGAGATCTAGAAATGTAGGAATTTAAAAACTTGGCAGCTTGCATGATACATAAAAACTTGGAAATTCAGAGATTTGGAGATCTAGGAATGTAGGAATTTAAAAATTTGGGAACTTGAAAACTTTGCAATTCAGAAATCTGGAGACTTTGAAATCCAAAAGCCTGAAGATTTAAACATTCAGACACTTGACGATCGTAGCATCTAAAAATTCAGAAATTCGCACACCTGTCAGCTCGAAAATTCAGATATTTGGTAGTCTAGGAAATCTAGAAATTCGAGGATCCCAAAAAATTCAGCAGTTCGAAAATTCATAGAAACGTATCTACGAAGTTGCAGAAATTTGCAAAATTTTCAAAAATTTGAAATTAGAAATTTAAAATTGGAAAATTCGCGCACTTGGAAATTGAAAAGTTTCGATATTTGATAATGTAGAAATTATCGACCATTCGAGCCTCTTCGGCAATTCGAATTTCGGTAACTCGCGAATTTCGATATTTAATAATTTTGTAGCTATCTTCCAGGGAGAAACCGTAGCTCGACAGATCGTCAAGCTTCTCTCTCTCGATCTATCGGATCTCGAGGTCGGAGCAGTTACAAGCGTAGCCGTGAAATCGTAAAGAAAGATAACTGGGAATTACCCGCGGGACGCGCAGTACGTGTGTTTTTCAGCGTGAAAAGCTCGCGTTACCCGCGTCCTCGTTGCAGCTTCCGTAAACTGTTGTCGTTGCAATCGTATCTCGTCTGCTCTGCTTTTATCCTCGTGTCCCTGTTACGTGGTCTCTGGTGCATCCCTGCATCTTCATCTTGATTACCGTGTAACGACTCTGGAATTTCCGCCGGTGAATCTTTTTATTTATCTGTTTCGATCGGCCGTCCGAATTGTTGAACTTCGCAACGATCGTCAGACGCATCTGTTTGATCAAACTTTGCGAGCCTCGGTTAGTGTCGGACGTTGTAATTTGCCTTTTATTTATCTCGTTTCACGTTCATCTTTTCCTTTTAGTTTATTTTATTTTATTTTATTTTATTTTTTTTTTTTGGAAATTCATTAAGAAATGATTAGTTTTTTTTAATGTTAACACAATGTGATTTGTGATCGACGAAAAATTACTCCTCTCAATTAATTTTTGGTACAGAATAAATTTTCAAGGGAAAGATACATGAAAAATGGCTGCTTCCGGTTATTATTCAGTTCAATTGAATTCAATTTTTCATCGAACGATCAGGAAAACTGGATCGAATCGAAAGTTTCATTCAAGATTATAAATCTCTTTCAAAATTCTTATCGAGTTCCAGCCTCGAGAACACACGAACATATTTGTTGGATAAAAATCGGAGTCTTGACTTTTCGTTAAAATAGTAATCTTCATTTTCACATATTTAGCCGTACGGTAAATGATATTTAATTGTACATCGGGTTCCTTGGTCCTTTAATGGGCGTTAATTTTCTGTCGTACGTCGACTTTCATTTTTCAGTGTCTGTCCATGTTCGTAGTATCGAAGTAATTGGTCTCTGTATTTTATTTCGTCGATGTACACAGAACTGTTTACTTTTATTTGGCCACGGATGACGCAAATGGATGAAAGTACACTCTTGTGACGCATGAATTTTATTCCTTTTTTTTTCTCTCTCCTTCTTCTTTCTCCCCCTAGCCGCGGATAATCGCCAAAAATGGTACAGTTGGAAACTCAGTTATCGACTAGCACGCGAATCGATCGATTCTCTTGTTTGATGACGAAACAAATTTCGTAGTAATCGTAGTATTATCATCATCGCGCCAAATGCACGTTTTCTCTCATTTGGAAAAATGATCAAAAAGGGATGAAAGCATAATAGGCGAAGTCAATCTAATTTACAAATTCTAAATTATAATCTTAACAATCTGATCCGAAATTCACATACTCTTCGCGAGTATATATTCAAGTTTATACTGTCAGTTTATTTTCTTCTTTTTCCTTCAATGTGAAAACCATCGTTGCAGTGGAAAATGAATAACTTGTGTTAATTTAGTGATGGGAACACAGTAAAAAATAAAGCAGAGCGAGCGCACGGCGGAAAAATTGAAAATTCGAGAAACTGAAGCTATCGAAGGATCGTTGGATGGGAAAAATGGTCGGAAAGTACGGCGAAAGTCGTGCGAAATAAAAATCAGCTTTAATATCCAATAACGCGCGCTTGGGGATAAATTGGCCTCGTTACCCGGCGAAGGATGATCATCATGAACCAGGAAGATGCTGTTCTCGATGGCGGTCGACATCTACTATCCCGGTTTTTATTAATTAATTTTATTTCATCCGTTTTACGAGCCGCGCGAATTCCACGTAATTTCATATATCAGTTTGTTGCCGCCTCGTCCATAAAAACACTTCGACACGTCGACTGTGTCCATCTCTGTATACCCGGTGGTCATTCTAATTTTACACGGACGAGTATAGTGTACGTGACCGACGCGGCGAGGCGTCTCCGATACTATAAATGCCACGGTAACTTCAAAACTGCCGGAAATTCGCCGTACCGGAAGCAAGTTTCCCGTCCGAACTTCGTCTACGTGATCCCCGACTCTCATCTCGAAATGTTTTCTATTTTCGATATTTTCTTTCTTCTTCTTTTAAGTCTGCTGACACGTGCTCGTGTAGGTTGTACTATTGGTTTATTGTAACGAGATTTTAACTTTAACCTCGACTTCGTCTGCTGTCAGAGAGCCTAAAGGCGCCTTTGAATATTTCCTTTCGAGGTATATATACATAATTTTATCGTGTATCTTTTTGACGACACGATTTTCTTCGATGCGTTGGACAAAATTAAAGAAGCAATCGTTAGTTTTATCGTTGGATCTATTGAAATACTCCTTTTTATTTCTCCGAATAATCAGGGGACAGTAGTATAATAATTCTCGCGAGCATTACTCTTTGAAGAATAAACGACTAACCTTGCGCTGCGTTTCTCGTTTGTTGCAGAACTCGAACAACCAAGTTGCGATTCCTGGACAGAACCAAGTGGCCCAGACGCAAGCGGAGACCCAGGGTGGCCCGAACACCGTTCTCAGAGTCATCGTCGAGCAGATGGTTTACCCAATTTCCTTGGACGTGCTCTATCAGGTAAGTTACGTCCTCTGTTTTCCCCCGGCAACTATCGATTAATTCCCTCGGCAACTTTCGCACGCTTGCCCCGATAATTTAATCAATTTTTCACAGCCTACTCCGCGACGTGTCCGTCGGTTAATTATCCGACGTGCGAATGAATTATTCGGCCGGATTAACCAGCCGAGCAAGATCGATACGCGAATCGTCGAAGAAGTAGAAAGTATCGAGCGCTGAAACGTTCGAAAACGTTTCGCCGTGGAAGAATTCAGCGGAAATTCGCGGAATCTTGCCCGAGAGGGCGCGGGATGTTGGAAATGCGGACAAAGCATTCCGCTCGCCAGCCCTGAAAAAAAAAAAAAAGAAAAAAAAGATACTCTCGTCGCAACATTTCGAAAGGGATTTTGAAAAATTCGCTTTGAGTAATTTCGATTGGCAAGAAGCCGGGCCTGGCGTCAAACTCTCGAAAAAAAAAAAAAAACAATGGCGGAAGGGTTGGAAATTTCCTCGCAAAAATGGTGAGAAAGAGTTGGAACAGCCGAAGGCCTGTCGAGTAATTACGCGGGAGAAAGAGATCCGGGCAAATTTGGCCGTGGGGTGTTGAAATTTCCCGTGGTCCAAGGGTCGAAAAGAGGATTGGCGAACGATCGAACGCGCGAGATTTATCGGTGGAAACACCGTCGGTGATCTCGCGGCCGTGGTAAAAACGGTCGAAATCGCCGGGAATAATGCAGGAGATGGGAAATTAATCGGATTTCGCGGCGTATCCGGCGAATTCGATTCCCGATTAATCGGATATTTTCTCCTTTCGGCGCCGATGGGTGAAGGGAGGAGGAGGTAGGATGGTTGCGCGTGGATTACACAATGGGAGAGGGCCTCGGCATATTTCGTCCGCCGCGATCTCGCCAGATTTTTCGCCCCGTTTTCGTTAATGGAATATTAAACAATCCGACGAGATCGTTCACCGCCTCGTCCGATCCTCCGATCTTCGGCTCGTTCGAGCTTTGTTTCCCCACGTTCAACGATCAGGCAGTTTCATTTCTCGCGCGATGATGTTGTTTTGTTTCTTTTTTTTTTTTTTATGAACTCGCGGCGCGTTGAAGTCGTTTGATTAATCACAATTGAGATCGAGAAGTAAAATTGACCAGCGTGGCCATTAACGAGCGAACGTTGTCAGAATAAAAATTTGTGTGGCCTAGTTTTCGTAGAATTATTTATTATAAAAGGTAGCGTAAATTCGTGAAAATGTCGGATCAAGCGGCCGAGAGGAGACGAGCAATATTTTGCTAGGAATTTTTTTCGCATTTGACACTGGCAATGGAAATCCGGGCATTTCGGGCTAACGTGCTTCCATAAACTCGCGTTTCTCTGAATCTCGCTCTTCAAAAAAAGAAAAAAATATATATTACGTGATTTGTATTTTCTTTTTTTTTTTTTTTCCTGTTCTCCAGTGATGAAAGTTAAAATTCCTCGCGGATTCAACCATCAGCGTAAATAATAAATGTGCGAAGTGATTTTTCGTCGATTTAGCAATCCGTGTGGAGGCTAACGCGTTTCGAGAAGGTTTCTGCACGCGTGAAAATCCTCGCACGAAATTTCTAAAGTGGCGTGAAGTTGTACAGGACACCGCAGGTATTACAGTAGACCCCATCAGCCTTTCAAATTAATTCTAGCTCAACGTATAATTCACCAGGACGAAGCAGCGCGAAAACGAGCGATTGATTGGCATAATGCGATGCCATTGAAACACGCAATTGCGTGCACAACGATCCGGTCACATTCGCCGCCAATTTTGCATGACGAATCCGTAATAAGGAAACGGCTCCCCCGGTCAGATTACATATTTACGGGATTAACGAGTAGCAATTAACGATGCGCGGAAATTATGCAGTCCGTGGAACCGCGTTGTTATTCAATTAATTCGACTGTTTCGGCGGGATCGGTGCACAGAAGCCGATTCTCCTGGACGATTAATTCACGTTCGGTGACGCTCGATTAACGAGTCGATTAAAATTACTGCCACGATATGGTTGCCGCGTTATCGCGACAATTTGTCGTTGGAAAAGAACGACTTTTAAAGTTATAAAGCCACGATCAGTTCTCTGGATCTGGAATCGAAACAGTGGTAATGTTGAACATTATATAGTTCGTGCTGGTGGCAGTTAATAAGATCAGTTTTGTAGATCTGGAATTGAAACAACTAGAGAGTGATGCCGTTGAATATTGTATAATTCGTACTAGTTGGAGTTGATAAGAAGTTGGTGTAGTTAGTATTCTTAACAAGTATAAAACCAATACTGCTATACTAATTGCAATACTAGTATTATAGCATATCATAACTATGTCAGTGTATAATTATGGTAATAATTATAATACTAGTATGTTCTAATGGTATTTAATTACACTTCTTAATACTAGTATTATAATTATTACAATTACCATAACTATACTAGTAAGATTTGTAATTGAGTACTAGTTGAACGTCTTAAAGTTGCTTCCGTCAATTTTGTAGATCTAGAATTGAAGAAATTGAAAGCGATAGCATTGAGCATGATTCACACTAGTTACACAAATACACATACACATATACATATATAATTATATAATAAAATAAATATGATTCATACTGCATAATAGTTAGTATTGAGTTAGTACTTTTTAATAATACTAGTTAGTGTTCAGTACTGATAATACTAGTGAGGCTGGTATAATAATTACTAAATACAACTTGTAATTGAACACTAGTTAATAGATATTCAATTTTCTTCGACTGAAATTTGTTGTAGTTTGTAATTTATTTCGTCCATGTAAACTTGATTCTTGGTAATAGACGGACGAAGGATGAACCAGTTATCCGGAAAATTTCTCGATACGTCGTAGCTTATTACGACCGGCGTTCGAGGAATGAAATACGATAGGAAACAGGGAAAGCTGAGGGTGGATTGAAAAAGTCGACGCGATATTTCACCAATTTTTGCTTACGAGAAACTGTCGTTTTCCTATAACACTTTTTCACCGTGTTGACACACGGGATCGATCTCGAAAGGAATGCAACCAATCTTCATCAACATCGCGCGCAACACACAGTCCATTCGAAACTTTTCTCTGCCTCTTTTTCCTTCTATCGGTCTCTCCATATCTGGGAAAAAAAAAAAAAAAATAGAAAAAATTCGCACTGTAAAAGGGACGAAAGAGAAAAAAAAGTGGGGATAACAAAAGAACGATTCACCGTAGGAGAGTGCACTGATCGTGGTGAAAGTTTAGAAAAAAGAAAAGTAGAAGGAAAGAGAACAGGAGAAAATATCTATTGTGCAACAGTGTGGAGGTTTTTGTTAGAGGAGGTTTTGTTTTCGAACTGCAAACGAAGAATTGTTAGGGAAATAAAATGCTACAGGTTGTTCTAGTTGGCTGTTATTAAAAAAGTTGGAGTAAAATGAATTTGTATGAAGGATAAGCGCAAAGGAGTATGATCCCCAGTTAGTCAGGCATGGAATGGAAAAGTTATCGATGAAAGACAAGTAGAAAGATAACAGTTTAGATGATCAGTTTCTTTATTCGATTCGTTAGTTGTAATTTAATTTAAACAAATTGAGAAATATTTGAATTATATTCTAATTACAATTTAATAAAATAATATAGCAATGAATAATTACTAAGGATGAAGAGGTTGATATTACCATAAAATTTGCGATACTGACACGTGTCTCAATAACCATTAAGGATGAAGAGGTTGATACTACCACAAAATTTGCGATACTAACGCTAACTCGTCTGTGTCTTCGAAACAGACGTTTCGTGATTAAAATAAGCTCCCTTTGGAGGCCATAGAACGCGATAACCGGCTATTTCCGGTTTCAAGTGAGGTCCATGCATTTTTCAGAGGATCGAGTAACGCGTTGCATCACGGCCCACGAATCCGGAAACTGGTGGCTTCTTTCCGGCTGAATGTCGCGTGTTTTCGTACGTGACGTATGCTAAACATCACTGTTGAATACTGTTAAAGAAGAAAAGCAAAAAAAAAGAGAGAGAGAGAGAGACGTAGGGAGGGGTGGCTTTTAGGAAAGGTCTGAATGAAGGTTCGCGGGTTCGCCAGGCGACGAAAAATGGAAAGCGTGCGGTAAAAAGCGTTCCTTGCTTGCTCTCCGCGTTTTTCACTTCATGCTTCTTCCTCCTCCTCCTCCTCCTTCTCTTTTTTTCTTTCTTTCGGTTCTCCTGGGTGTGAAATGGTTTTCCAGTTTTCCAGTTTCGTGAACGTGCGGTAGAATAATTTGTACCGCGCTTTCGGCGATTTTTCTAACCCCGTCCGCAGTGCAAATGGGAATGAAGATCGAATGGAAGATTGAAATATTTGGCATACGATCGAGGAGGGAGCATACGAAATTTAAAACTTCAGTGTCAGACTCTGAAGATCCCATCGAGATGAGAAATTGTAAGTCGTTGCGTTGTTAAGAGGTTATGAATTATATTTGTCGTATTATTTCGATTCATCGTCGTCAGTTCGAATCGCTGTGAAAACCAAAGGTTCAAATACTGTGAAATATCTGGAGATATCTGGCATACGGATCTTAGTTTACTCGCACGATGGGCATTGCAGCGAACAAAGGCAGCGAGGGGTAGCACTTCCGGTCAGCAGGCAGAATCGACTTAGCGCCGAGCTAATCTTTCGGAGCGATCGCGATGCGTGTAAATCCGGCGTCGAAATTGCCGCGTAAGCCTACTTACGCGACCAAACAACGGCCAGTGCCTGGCCCCGGGTGTAATCCAACCGTGTTTTCTAGTCGGTCCATTATCGGCTTACCACTTTTCCACCACTCTGTACACTCTCCGAACCCGTGGTGCATCAAGTCGTAATGCGGAATCTCTCTCAATCTTTCGGATATTTCTTCGGATATTTCTTCGAATCCGGGGAATCGTGAATCCACGTTCGATCCGTTGAGAACGATTTCTAAACTTGGAAATCGAATCTTCCTTTCGAGAAAACTATAATAACCAGTCGTGCTGATTTTGATTGGCTGTTG